GGACTTTCCCGCTGCAATGCTGTATATGATTAGATTTCTAAACTTCTGTGTGAAAATATGTAATTGTTTATTCCTATTTTTAAATACATTTTACTTTTTTTTCATATTCTGTAGGGACTTAAAGTTTAACAAATCAATACTTGATGAAAAATACGTCTTCCATGTTATGCCTAAGATGTTTGATATTCAGACAGATAGTGAGATTTAGCTCAACAGCCTAGGTTGTAGGGTAATAATAATAAGCTTCTCTTCTGGAGGGTCAACAACCTAAGTTTGCAGACCAAAAGTTACAAAAAGGGGAGGGCTGCAAGGACAGCCTATTTGTTTTATGTTGTTCATCTTTGCATCATCTTGCAGATGTTGAATTATTTTTTCCCACATCCTAGTTGTTTTCAAGAGATCTTTTCTTTCTAGCTATGGTGTCTTCAAGGTCTAAAAGTCTATTTTCACTTTCATTCAGACTGTTTTGTCAGCTTGTGATTGAGGTTTTAATTTCCTGTGTAGCACTTTGAATCTGTTTCATGCCTTCTATTTCTTTCTTATTTTGCTTATTTAATGATTCTATCATTTTTCTATTCTCTATTTTTAAAATCAGTATCTTATTTAGAAGCACTTAGTATTTCTTTCATTATAGTTATCATTTCTTTTTCTTTTTACTTCAGAAATTATTTCTATCTGATTTCCTCTATACCTTTCTCTATTTGTTTCTTTACTTCCGATGCTATTATTTCAGAGATTTCAGGTGTGTGCTTTCGAATTTCTTCTATGCTATTGTCTCCTGCATTTCTTCTGGGTGGGCTCAGGCCCTAAGAATGCATTTTGCTCCTTCTCTTTGTCATTTTGTATATCACTGTCTTCTGACCTTTGGTGTAGAGCTTTGGTACAGTTATTACTTTAGCACCAGGTCTGGATCTACCAAGTTCAAACTCGTCCCGGTGGGTGTGGCTTGGGTTTGGTTGCTGTGCTCCACTTCTTCCTGCTGTAGCCCTTGGAAGTGCACGTGCTGTGCCACTCTGGCAAGATGTTTTGCTCCTGGGCCAGCTGGGTGGTCTTGCCTGTAACCTCTCTGCAGGGAGTTCCACCACAGAGTTCCACACCAGGCATGTCTGATGGAGGAAGTGCCACACACACTGGCTTGGGTGCTGGCTGGAATGAGGACCTTGTGGACCAACAGGAGGTCCCACTCATACTCTGGGCCTGGGCACTGGCTAGAGTGAGGATCTGGCTGGCTCTGGGTAGTCTCACACACACACCAGACCTGGGCACTGGCTAGAATGAAGACCTGGAGGGCCCTGGGTGTTCCCCCCACAAGTGTGTCTCCCCCTTTTTTGTATTTGGTTGCTGCAGGGTCTCACTACCCAGCCCAGACTCATGGTGATCCTCCTGCTTTCAGCATCCCCAGTGTTGGGATTACAGGCATGTGCCACTATGCCCAGACTCTGGCTGGCTCAGCATGCTCTGGGGGCAGGGTTGGTGCAGGATGTGGTGCCAGGAATTGAACTGAGGTCCCTGCACTTGCTTAAGCTTGCCTAAGCAAGCGCTTTAGTCCTCTGAGCTATCTCACCAGCCCCAGAGGGTAGAACTTTTGAGATGGAACTTCTTCATGGTGTTGGGGTATTCTTCTGCTATGCAAAAGCTTTTTAATTTGATGTGATTCCAAGTATTGAGTCTCTGTGATATTTTTTGTGTGGTCAGGGTTTAGTTTTTAAAGTCTTTGCCAACATCTGTATTTTTAAGAATTCTATCTAGTCTATCTTTCAGCAGACTTTTTCTGTTTTAATATTCAGATCTTTGATCCATTCTAATTTTAATTTAGTATATGGTGAAGGATATGGATCTGGTTTTAATCTTTGACATACAGAAAGCCAGTTCTCCCAGCATTGTTTACTAAAGAAGCTATCTTTCTACTGGTGAAGTTGTTTGGCCTCTTTGTCATAGATAAGATGGTGGAGTGTGCTTGGAGTTGCTTCTACTCTGTTTCACTGATCCTGTTATTTATTTATTTATTGTCTGTACCATGCTATTTTTATCACTATAGCTTTGAAAAGACAACACACACAATGGGAAATACAAAGGACTCAAAAATCAGATCCTCCAAATTTAAAGACCCAACCTAAAAATGGGAATCTGAAATGACTGGACACTGTTCAGATAAAGTACAAACAGGAAATGAATATATATATAAATGTTCAGTATCACTGGCTATTCATGCAATTCAAATTAAAATAACACCAAGATTACATTTCACTCTAGAAAGAATGACCATCAAAGAAATCAACCAATAACAAATGCTGGCAAGACTATGGGAAAAAGAAACCCTTCTCCATTGTTGGTGAGAGTCTAAATTGCTACAACCATAATAGGAATCAGTTTGGAGATTCCTCAAAAAAACCCAAAAGTAGAATTCCATTTGATCTTGCTATTTCCCTTTCTTTATATCTTCTAGCTATCTATAAAGTGATACAATTTATAATAGTTAAATCTTTGAAATAGCCTATACGCTCATCAATGGATAATTTGACAAAGCAAATGCGGGGATTATATGTAGTGGAATACTACTCTAGCATTAAGAAGAATAAACTTCACAGACAGTTTTAGGTAAATGGATGCCCCTTGAGATGGCAATTTTAGGTGAAATAAATTAGAGACACAAGTTTAAATATTACATTGTTTCTCTTGTATGGAAACCCCAGGGGAATAAGGAATAAAGTGGAGTATAGATATTGGGAAGTAGGAAGAAAGTGTCCAAATGGGAAGGGGAACATGGGAGGAGAAGGAGAAGGAAAGGAAGTGAAAAGGAGTTAAAAAGAAAAAGAGAGAATGGAAGGAAAAATTGGAAGTAAAACTTTTGTAAATGGGAGAAAGGTTTAAGGGTTTAAGGGAGGGGAATGGGAAAAAAAGAATTGAAGTATAAGTACAAATTCCTTAAGAAGAAGGTGATGAATATATATATATTCATCAAGTGGATGTATATATATCTCCAGAATGATTTTATGCAAAAAAGGTAAAAGAATCCAACACCATACCATACAAAAAGAAATACGGCCTAGTGGAAGGCAGCTAGGACACAGCTGCTTCACACCCATGAATGGACTCATTCTGCTCCTCGTGGGCCTGGATTAGTGCCCCTGAGAATGGGTACCACCCCTGAGTCACTCTTCTGCATGCACTGGACTCCCTTGCTACATATGCCCCTATCATCCTCCCTGAGGCCCTCATTAGAGCCAAGCAGATACTGGAACCTCTAGCATTCTGTACCAACTAAGTTTCTTTTCTTTATGAAGTATCTTACCTCACATCTTTTGTTATAGCCACCCCATACACTAAAACAGATGCAAAGACACTTGGAGAGGAAAAAGTAAAGATTGCAAAGAGGGGGCTGGTGAGATGGCTCAGTGGTCTAAAGCACCTACTTACAACAAGCTTAGTAAAGCACAGGGACCGCGGTTCAATCCCCCAGCCCCACATGCCAGCCAGCCGTGCCCCCTGATGGGCTGAGCTGGCCACACACACACACACACACACACACACACACACAAATAAAATAAAATAAAAAAAAAATTAAAAAAAAAAAGATTGCAAAGAGGACGAGAGAAGAGGGTTCTAGCATCAGTGAGAGGGAGCAAACCAGACCCGACGCTAAGGATGCTCCATTGCCAAGGGGTTCACTTCCCTTTGGGTACTGCTCCTGTTGCTGTGGGGCCTTTGGAAAACCACAAGTCATTTTTCAGCTCCAGATTAGAATGTCTGCAGTGCACTCTCTGGGGCTGCCTCTACCCCTCCAAATCCACTGACCCTGAGAGAGCAGGACACAGCTCACCTGGGCAGAAGTGCTGTGGAGCTTCAGCAGCCCATTCTCAAGGCGCTCCATTTTGGACTTGAGCTCTTTTTCATTTCTGTGCAAAAGGCTTTGGTAGAGTCTGATGAACTCCAGAAAGGATTTGGGGGTTGTGTAGTTATAGTGCTGCTCGTTGCTCAGATAAGCCTGCGATGTGTGGTTGACGCTTGTGTGGACAAAGGCCATGAACTTGCTAATTGATTGCTTTACTGTAGGCTAGAATTAAAAACAAAACAGGAAATGGAATTTGAAGGTAACTACCCGTCCCTCTCTGTGCTTTACTGTTTCCATGGCTCTGTCCAAGCCCTGTGCTTTAACCCCCATATGTGGACCTGGGTTTCTTTGTACTCTGAGATGAGGAGGACACTGAAGAGGCCTCCTATCCCCCTCACCTCAATGCTGTGCGTGTTTTGCAGGAAGCGGAGGCTGACAGACTCCAGCGCCTGCTGAGGCCACTCCTGGAACCAGTCAATGGCTGTGCAGTTCAAAATAGCTGGGAACTTCCTGCTGCGGACCCTCAGCTTGTTCCCCACAGGGGAGAAACAGAGAGTTACCTGCGAAATCAGAAGAGAGGGGACAGCCAACAAGGTATCACAGAAATAGTCACAGAGAGGCAGACATGGCTTTGGTTTCTTGATTTCCCAGAAATTTAAGCAGCCTATCCAACCAAGATAAAATCTGCATGCACTGGTCAGCTTCCCTGGCAACACATCCACAAAACTGAGGTCCATGGTACAAGAGGAGGGACCACTAATAAAGCAGGTGAGAAGCGCTGCTTGCAATGGCATTCAGCCTGAGAAGAGTGCAGCACCCTCCCCACCTACTGTGAAGATAGAATAGCTGGGTCCAATCCAAACCAACAGTAGAAGTTCCAGTGAGCATTCCTGGTCTGTGCCTACTCCAGGCAGTAAGTCATCCTTTACCTTTAGGCGTCGTTGGACACGATCTATGAAAAACTTCCAGCAGTTCTCTCTGTTGTCAAGCAGGCCTTGGCTCTTGACTTCATTCCTCACATTGCTTATGATGTTTTCAACTTCATCATCCGAGTAGAGGTCTGGTATCTCTGCTGGGAATAAATGAAGCACAGATGGCCAGCTTTGACATCTTGCGAAATGATGCAATCAGACTTGGGAGGTTATTTTGGCTTGGGACACAGGTCTCTTGGTTTTCACATTATATTTCAACTCACTTGCTGATGAAATTGGATGGACACTGCTAATATGTCAAACCCAAGACAAGGCAACTGTTGAATGGAAGGGGGTATAGGACACCTTCATGGCCTGCTATAGGCTGTTGGTAGCATTTCAATGGTCTTTCCTTCTTTCACTTAAGCATTTACTTTTATCTACATTGTTGGCTCTCTGAAAATTGTACCACTAAGAATCTTAATATTTAGCAAGAGATATAAAACATATTCATCTATCGGATTGTGAATGAACAGAGCCATATATAATATACATATATACATATATATATGTATGTATGTATACATATACACATATATACGGCTATGTATCTATATATATACATATACGGCTATATATCTATATATACATGTATATATACATATATTTAAGAAGAATAAGCAATTTCATTCTATAAGAGAGAAAGGAAGAGGCATAGTTTAATGGAATTTTGTATTGTATGCATTAAATACTATCTTAAATCACTGTAGAAAAGATGAAATATTCAACTATGCAATACGTAATATTAGCAAAACTAGGATCTAAGAAAGAAGATCTTTGAGGGGGAAAACTTTCTAACTATCATTCAATCTACTTTTTAAATTTAATAAAAAAGATAAACGTGACAACAAAAAAATAAAGCAAGCTATCATGATGAAAGTGTATGGTATGAAGTACGACAATAACAGTTACAAAACTCAAGGCATATGCTATGAAAGTATGTGTTAACTCAGATTATGGTTAAATGGCTAACCTACTGAATATGTAAAGAAAATCTCTACAAATCAAATAAATAGAAAGATATGCTGAAGGATATGAAAAGAGTTTACAGTAAATGAAATAAAAATAAAAATGGATAAGAACAGGAATAATGAAGGAAATAAAGATGTCTCAGATGCTTAATGTCATTTTTAACAATAGAAATACAAATTAAAGCTGCTTGATTACTTTTGTACAAATCGGGCTGGCAAATGTGAAATGATACTCAGCCTCCCTTGTAATAGCACAAATATAAAATAAAATTGCCTAATTATTACTTTTACCAGTGTGGCAAAAATCTGGAAGGTAGAGAACACAGTATTTGGTGAGATAATGTGTGAATGAAATTGTACGCTCATCTGACTAAAGAAGACAAATTTTAAAAATCCTAACTAAATATGTGAAAATTAATATAAGATAGCTACTTACATTTTATCCTGGAAACATAAGAATAGTTAAGTTCTAGAAAAAAATCTGTGAAAATAATGTACTATATTAACAGATTAAAGAAGTAAAATAATATGATGACTGAACTAGGTACATAAAACTTCTAAAATATTTTTAGAAAACTTGGAAAGAATGTGATAACAAATATTAACCTCAAACTTAAAGCAAACATCCACCTAAATATTCCTTTTTAAATAAAGAATAAGACAAATGTAACTGCTATTATGAATCTTATTCCATATTATGCAGGCGGTCTTAGATTGTGCAAAAAGTTAAAAAAAGAAATAAAATTATAGAGATTGTTTTTTTTGCCATAATTTTATTGATAAACAAATAGCAATGAGAAGGTTTCAAATCAAATCGGTGGGACAGTTTCAATAATTAACACACTGCATATATTCTTCTTAGTGGTTAATTGCTGTAGAAGATGCAGACTCGACATCCTATCCACAAGCACCACTAGAACAAATCACTCTATTCACTAACAGAATGTAACTATATAACTATCCTAACCACCCTCAATACATAGATACAAAATGGACATTCATCTGTATACCCTTTTTTTGTTAAGTTCCATTATTTGAATATTATAGGTGTGTAAACTCAGCAAAACATTCTAAAAGAGTCCAGTATCCCATAATAGCATTAGGTCTTCCGCTTAACTGGCAATGTCAGAAATTGTAGACCTGAGTACCCCACAGCTCAACATAACAGCATGGCTTTATTTCTTTTTTTTAATTTTGAAACCAATTTTATTACACATCTCTTCTTTTTTATGATGAAATAATAGACAAAACAGTACTTGGTAGTAATTCACAGAAAAGCTAATTTTGTTTGTTGTACAGGGAAATATCAAAAGACCAAGGGCTGAGGAAATAAGAAACGTATCATAGAACTGCATGTCCTCAACATAGTTATGTTTTTAGAAATAAGTGATGTAGTGTAAATTATGTAAGGGCTACCACTAACTTCCTCATCTATGGTATATATGAATGCACTAGTGAGATCAGCTTTTATGAATGAATTATACTCTGACTTGAGGTCTATTTCTTTTTTTTTAAATTAATTTTATTGAGAAACAAATAGCAATGAGACAGTTTCAAAACAGGTTAGTGGGACAGTTTCAATAATTAATACATTGCACATTGTTGAGTTCATAGTAGTTATTCTTCATACAAGATGCAGACATGATATCCTGTCCAAATACTATCAGTACAAATCTTTCTTCTCATTGAGTTAAATAAAGTAGCTGTATATCTACCCTAATTATTTATTTATTTATTTCCAAAATTTTATTGATAAACAGCAATGAGGCAGTTTCAAATCAAATTGGAAGTACAGTTTCAACAAATAACACACTGCATATATTCTTCTTAGTGGTTAATTGCTGTACAAGATGCGGACTTGAAATCCTATTCACAAACACCATTAGAACAAATCATTCTATTCATTAAGAGAATGCCACTATATATCTATCCTAACCACTTTGAATACA